GTGATGTTTACTGTATTGTAAAGCACCTCGATCATGTGATGGGTGCTCTATAAATCAATAAATGATGACTTAGAGGCTGTATCATGAGCTATTTTGGTTTTAGGATGCAGGTCTTAAAAGCAAGTTGTGGAATTCTTTCTGTATAAACAGCACATGATACCATAGGGCCCACAGGGGAAACTTGGTAAAGAATTTTTAAAATTTAAAGAGGGAATCAGAGGGTGGGAAGTTCACTTGACTTCTAACCTGATCTAATGGTCTTAAAAATTCCAGTGTGGGGCCAACCACCATTCTTAAGAGTTTCCGTGCATGCTGATTTAGAACTTTAAATAAAACGAGCACATGTTAGAGCATTATTGGGGATTTTGTCTTTGGTGTAGACTGGCTCTACCATGAAGATAAGCTAAAAGGTGAAGAACTCAGACTCCATCTCAATCACCAGCGTCCCTCGTCTAAACAGATGGGCAAATTTGGCCCAAATAGCTGCACAGTATCACTTAGTAAGTTAGTGCAAATAAGACTAGACTGAGTACTTTTTTCCTTTAAAATGTTTTCCCTTTTTTCAAATTAAAATTTTTTATTTATTGGAGGACTGCAAACCCCAACAAGATTCAGGGTGTCAGTATCCAGCTTTTCACCCTGCATCCTTTCATGTAGTTTATATGGATTTACATGTTAGGTGTTGAAAGCCTGTCTGTCTCCATATAAGTTGCCAGTGGTTTTAAGTCCTTTTCCTTGAAGACTCCAAGAACATGGAGCCAGACCTCTTAATCACAAGAAGAAAATCCTCCTTGAGAGCAGTTTGAGGGATATGGGAACTCATTTTCAGACATTAATTTTCCTGATAAATACATTTGAAATGAAACCATTATAGAAGGGTCTAGATGATGTCCCTAAACTTTAAATACCAATTTGAAGCGTAATCATCTACTTAAGATATAGAGCAAGAAACTTTTATTTGCATGCCATTTCCAATGAAAGTGAACATCTTCTGACTGACCTTAGGCTTTGAGGAAGGACCAGTTGACTTTCTTCCTCCCTCTCATAAAGATAGGGTTGGAAACACCTCACCAGATTAAAATCTTTTATTTTCTGGAGGACTGCAAATCCCAACAGGATTCAGTTTGCAAAGCAAAGTATTTCCAGGATAAGGCATTTTTGGTTGCTCAGTTTGATGGTGTAACCTGGCCACTAAGGACTAGGCTTCTTGTCTCATTGAGTCTACACACCCCACTGAGCTGCAGTGAAACAATGAAAGACTTTGATTCCTATTCACATAGGTGGAAAAAAACTGAAGGAGAAAGAAAAGGCTTTCACAAAAGGCAGCCAGATATGTCTTAGACTTAGGAGCTGCACAGAAAGTCATAGGCAGCATACTTAGTTTTCCTCTCCCAGCAGTCTGTTTGGGAACAAGCATAATAGTGCTTGTGTGTTCACAATGACATCTTTATTCCTAACGAGCACCAGAAATCAAGTTCCTATTTCCTTGAGTCTCCACTTTGTGTCAGGCTTATGCTAGATGTGTTTCATAAAGGATCTACTCCAGTTCTTACAAGGATCCTCAAAGTAATAGTGTCTCATGCAGAAACAGGCTTAATTTGTTGAGATGGTACAGCAAGGAAGTTTCATGGCCAGGGTTCAGTTTCACAACCTCCCTTTCATACTGGGTGCCATTACCTCTTAACCTCAGGAACATTTTTTCCAAGGTCACACAGAGAGTGAGTGTGTTGAGGCTGGTAAATGAGCCCATTCCCTCCCTGTCTTCTTCTACCATGATATGGCACTGTCTCCGCAGAGAGTCTGTTCCGCTATGTCCTTAAGCCAGGCAGCATTTAGCCCTTCCTGCACTTCATGCTCCCTGTCCAAGACGACTCCACATAAAGTTCCTCTAAATGAGACTAAGAAAACATGAACTAGGTCTAAAACGAACCATGTTCTAGTGCTCAGATTTTCCAGAATGTTAATATTTCAGGTCATATCCAAAGCTGTAGCTTCCATCCAAGCCTGTTGGGTGTTGAAATTCACTGAGGACTACAGTTGCTTTATTTTACAAGATGTATCAAGTCCTCTAGCTCAGGAGTTTCCAGCCAGTTACGAGCCTACTCAGAAGACAAGGCTCCAGAGATAGGATTATATTAACAGACATTGCCAAGAAGAGTGCTTTGCCAAGAAGAGTGCTTTCACCTCTCCTAGAGGGCTTCTTAAGGGTAGGTTGTGATGAGGTAGTGAAGCCCTCTAGTTAATTAAATTCTTTAAGGTGAGTTCGCATTTGACTGTGGGAATCTACTCCAAGCAAACTGAAAGGGCACAGATTTGTTTATTCCTGCATGTGTGCTGCTGAGGGAGAGGGTCCCTGGTTTTCATCAGATTTTCAAAGGAGGTCATGACCAAATCATTAAGAACCACGCATTCTAGTCCAACTCCCTTTTGGTTTCTCTATTTTTATTTTTATTTTATTTTCAAATGGAGGTCCTGGGAATTGAACCAAGTACCTTGTGCATGCTCAGCATGCGCTCTATCAGCTGAGCTATACCCCCACCTTCCAACTCCCTTTTGACATTTATGGATAATCTGAGATGGCAGCATAAAGCTTGCAGGGACTTGCCTTTGATCAACACAACAAATCAGTTGCAGAGGCAAACCTGAACCCAGTTCTGATTTCCAGGTATAGCTCACAGTGGCAACAGCTCATCAAACATTTTGAGCACCTGCTGCATACCAGATGCTAGCAACATAAGTCATATGATGCAAAGCCAGCCATCAGCTGTGACAGTACTTCCCGACCACTTTTACATTACCCAGAAAATACCTGTAGGGCACTCAAGATAAACAGATGAGGCTCCTTGCGGTCAGAGGAGTCTGTCTTACCTGGTTACCCTGATGGCCGCAAGGGCTCACCATTTAACTCACCTATAAACCATTCTTGATTGACCGTGAGGCTTTGAGCTATGGCACCTCCACTGAGCCCGACAAGTACTCCCTTGCACTCCTTAGTCTAAGTGCTGCTTGCTCAATGCAGCTCCTCTAAGCACTCCTTGCCTATACCTCTTTAGTACCTTTAGTCTCTTGCCACAACTGGAACATTGTTTCCCTGAGCACCCTCTTATTCTTACACATTTCAATATCCATCTCCCAGGTATCCCTCAGCCAGAATTCCTCCCTGATCAACAAAGTGTGAACACCATGACTATGTTTCCATGATCTAAACTCCAAATCCCTTCTCCACTCCACCTCTCTACCCACTAGTGCTTAACCTTGGCAGTACCTGTGAGCTGGTGTTGAGTTAAGGCCGTGGGACCCAAGGCCACGATCAGAGCATGTTTGTAGTATACAGTAAATAATTGCTCCACGCATGCGTCAATTATATAAGATTTAGAACAAAGAAAATAGAAGTACGCATGTGCTAGAGATATTCTGTAAGCCTAATAAACAAAAAAACTCAGACCACGCATGTGCTGACAAAAAACAGATAAAAACAGGACAGGTGCATCACAGGCGCGCACCTCCCTGTGACAATAAAATTTTGTTAACCCCATGATGTCTCTGGCTAAAGTCTGTCCAGCAGTATGACAACTGCTCGTACATTTTTTCGTTTGGGCTGCTCACCTCCTAAAACCCCACATCAGGCTCCCTCGGCTGACAGTACCTAAAACCTCAAATTCAAGTCCACCCCCTTTTCTATTCTGACACCCTCATCTTGGGCTCAGATCCTTCCTCCAACCTATCATCTACTCTCAGCTCTTCCAAGGCCACAACGTTCCCTGCAGTCCTTAACTGTTGATGCTTCTAGGAATGAATATCAGCATTCTTTTGATTCTCCTTTGAGTAAAAAAATGTTTTGAAAGGTTTCATACTATTCACTTATATTACTCTTTCGCCTTCTTTTGCTATTAGTCACCCCCACATTCCCTAAGATTTTAGCACCTCTAAATTCAAATATCTAATTTTTCTAGCTTCTCACTTCCACTTCAGCTACTGTATTCCATGGCTCTGTCCTGGACTTTATCATCTCCTAGTGCTATTAAATATGAACTTCAGTTTGCCACCCTGACACAGGGCTATCACAACCGTGTTCACACTGCACTGGTCTTCAATATACCTACAGTTTTATGATTCGTATATCAGCCTCTACCCATTCATTCTGCACAGGAGCTGTATTCTTACAGTACTCTCAGTTTCTTTTTGGTAATAAATCCCAAGCTCTGGGTAAATGCTACAATCCATATTCTCTGTTTCTGCAGTCAGGTGGATGAATTCCGCTAGAAAAAAAAGTGACCCATCCACATACAAGGACATAACTGAAACCAGACCTTCTAACTTCAGATTCTTCTCCCAAATTTTCTTCCCTCTCTTTGGTCCCCTTGTCTACCAACTTCAACCATAAAACTGATGTCGTCAAGCGATCTCCCTGATATCTCTTCCCTCCTTCACATCTATCTGTATGCATGTTCTTGTTTCCTAAAATTTTAGTAGAAAACAGTGATTTGCCTGCAATCTACAGTTAATCCCTTATCCTAAATTCCTTCTGCATTCGTCTGCAGGGCATCCCGTCTCCCCAGGGACCTTAAACCATCATTAGCCTTTCCCTCTCCTTCGGCTCTTTTCCTCTCAGCTTCTTACATCTTTACAACAAACCAAAAACCCGAGAAAACCCCTCTCACGACCCTCTCGGCCAGATTTTCCCGAAGAGTAGTCTGCTCGCTGCGTCCATTCTTTTCAGTGCCATGCCTAGGGCATGGAATATGATAGAGTCCAGTCAGTGCTTGATAAGTCCAGAACCTCAAAGTACTAGGTGAAGAGACGGGCTCTAGGTTCCTCCCGTGTCCAGCCACCTCCTCCACTTTCATTCACTACTCTTTCCTACTCCCGACCCCTCCCCTTGCCTGGCCTCCATGACTCTCGCGAGACTTGGGGCCTCCGTTACGCACCGCCCCAACGGAGCGGCCCACTTCTCGCGAGGCTGAGGCAGGGCCGGGCCCGACATGGCGGAAGGTAGGGTTTTTGTGGAGCCGCGCGGGAAGGCGCGGTGCTGTGGGAGCGCTGCTTGCTGGGCGCAGCGGCTCTGAGAGGGAACGGCCGGGCGTGGTCGCATGGAGCACAGCGGGTCTCGCGAGCCTTCCTCTACAGCCTCTCCGAGGCGCCTGGGGCCGGGGTCCTGAGCGCTATTCCTATGGCAACGCCCCTCTGGCGGTCCTGGACCCCACGGGATCACGGCGGGATGCGGAGCTGGTCGCGAGGTCCGGTGCCGGGACTGAGTGCAACCGCGGGGATGCTGAGGGCCGCCGGGGAGGCTCCTTTGATTACCGGCGGTGCTGGGACGGCGGGGGAAGTAACCCTTCTCCTTAGGAAATCGAAACTGCTGTCCTGGCACGTCCTGCATCCGGAAGGGGTACATCCCTCGCCGGCGGAAGGGCTTGGGACTCTTCTCGGGGTGAGGGGTGGGGGTGAGCCAAGGCTGTCACTGGCCAACGCGCCAAACGGGCGCGCACTGTAGACTCTAGGTCCCCAGCAGCCCCGGGATTCGGGCTGGCAGGGATTCTTCCGCCAGGTTTACAGATGTGGACGGGAGGAGGGGGTTTGCTAGGTAGGGGAGTTGGCCAAGGTCACGCTGTTCCTAAGAGATGTTCTAAACCAGACCTCGGTTCCTTTGCCTCTTAGTCCTGTCCTTACCCGCTTTTTTGGCACTCTCTTTATGATGCTGCAGGTAAAGGCAGTTTGGCCTCTTGGGTTCTGCCTCCCTTAACGTAGCAATATTAGAATCCTTCATTGTCATAGCCTTGTTGTACAGGTATGGAGCGGGGAGAAGGACGCCCAGAGATGGGAGTTACCTGCAAGGGACCCAAAAGTGACGCTGTCAAACCTGGCTATTCACCCCATCATTGGAGGAAAGTACTCCTTATTTGACAGTTTACTGAGTAACTACAATATGCTGGTCCACGACCTGTCAAATTAGTTTGGAGCTAAGCTTTGTCTGAACCCATCTTCACTTGGATCTTAAATTTGGGTGGCACCTGACAGTTTGCAGGCTTTCCTCACTTGGATTAGACTTGATAACAGCCTTGTGAAGGAGGCCTGGCATGGGTGTTATTTGCACTTTATAGATAAAGGAATTGAGGCCAGGGTTCTAGAGATACTCAAGACTGGCACCCACTTTTTGTTTGCTCTTTCTACCGTATTTGACCCCCTGGAGAGGCAACCATCAGATGAATATTATATGAAAGCAGAAGAGGACTAAAAGGAACAGAGAACGCTAAGACATCCCCTGAAGCTAGTTTTTGGAGAAATCATGGAATGTTGTTTAACATCATTTAACACAGCTGACAGCCAGTGAAATGAAGCTTGTAGACCAGAGCAGTGAGTCGGGTGGAAAGGTTCGGGAAGGCTTTATGTGAGGTGACAGGTAGTCCAGTGCTGTTATACAAATTAGAGAAGTTGAGGAGTATTTGGGGAATACATTACAGAGATGGAAGTTGTAGGAGGGCAGCTGATTTTTCATTCAGCAGTTTTTACTGAGCCCTGGCTGTGCCTTGCCATGAGGTTCCAGCCTGAGCAGCTCCTACCAGCGAAATACACATGCTGATGGTTATCTCGCAAGTACCTTCAGGTGTGTTAGGGTAACCTTGAGAGACAAAGAGACATCAGCTCCAGCTGGTGAAGCACACACCTTAAACAAACAGAACTTCCTTTTTGGGGTTAAATTGGCAAGGAAGGCTAGATGGGTAAGCATAGCCATGAGGTGCTGACTTGACAGTTTTTATTTTACTTTTTGTGTGTTTGTTCCAATTTCCTGGCCTGTGTTCTGATTTTAGCTTTTTGGAAGCAATGTCGCAGACTTTGACTAGGAAGAATTGAGTGGAGCTTTCTAGTCCAGTTACCTCATTAAACTGCAGGTGCTTGTGATTCAAAGGAAGGCAAAATTAGCTAGAAAATGTTTTGCAGGGGTGTTACTTGTTTAATGCTGCTTATAATTTAATCAGAATTTGTTGGAGCCGGCTATGCTTGTTCAGAAATACTCGTTTAAATATAAACAAACCAAAAATCTATGTCGTGTAACAATTGGATTATCTCTAAGCACACTCTGTGGGAACTTCCGTGATGATGGTTTTTGTTTGGTGATGTGAGTGAGGGAGCATGTGGGAAATTACTCTTAGGAAGAGTAAATGGAACCTGCAGAGACCAAGTATACAATAACTTCTAGACGTGACTCATGTAGAAACCAAGCTTCTCTCCTTCCATCCATACATGGGTATTGGTTTAACCATATATATTTAGCTGAAGTTTGTCCTAAGACAAGTTTCCGTTTCCATTCTTCATCTCTGCAGCTGTCCTGCTAATCTAAGCCTCCTTCATCACTCAGAAGAGTCCTTCCCACACGGTCTTCCTGCTTTACTTTTTCTTCTTGATTTTGCTTCCCCACAGCCTATTTTTACAGAGTTTCCAGTAAATCAGATCTTGTCTCTCCCACTTTTTACAGTACGGCTGCCCTTCTGTGTGCTCTCCCTATTCCTGTGGCTCTCCATGATCTTAAGATATATTCTGAAGACCCTGGTGACCTTCAGGTCCCTACATAGTTAACATTGGTACCTTATTTCCTACTTCTCAGTCACCTAGCTCTTGCCACACTAACTTCCTTGCTGTTCTTTGTACAGTCCCAACTATTTCTTTATCTTTGTCTTACAATTCCCTTGGCCTCGAAGTCTTCCTCAGTTTCTCCACACAGCTAATTGACTTTTATTCACTCAGGTGTCTGTTCACTTCTCACCTCTTTAGAGATCATCCCTTTCTCTTCAGAGATTTAAAAAAAAATTCTTTTACAGAAGTATAAACCCCACCTAAGGGCAGAGGCTTTTTCTGTTTTGTTCACTGCTGAATCTGCCAACTTAGAATCATGCCTGTGGTTGAAGGAATGGATGAACTGTTGAGCGTCATTGACCAGACATCAGGAAAAGCTGCCTGGATACATCCTTAGTCTCTTGTCAAGGAAGCTGGCCAGTCCAGCTTTTAATGTGCTCCGAATAACAGCAGTTTGCTGGGAGCTGCCTAACCTAGTTTTTGTCCAGCTAATTTTGGTTTTAGCAATTCAAGTGTAAGAGCTCAGTCTCTGCAGGTGGACGTGGGTTTGAATCCTAGTTTTACTACGCTATGATCATAGGCAAGCCATTTAATTGCCCTCAGTCTCAGTTTCCTCAACTTTAAAAGGGAGATCATCTCTGTCTCAAAGGTAGCTGTGACGATCAAAAGAAAGAGTATCAAGAACCCTGTTATCCCACAGTGCCTGACATTTTGACCCTGCTGTGCAGTCTTTCTCTTGGTCTCCTCTTAAACCACCCCCCAAAATAAAAGTGAAAATTGGAAAAATGTAAATAATTTATTAATCAGGAAAATAATCATGGACTTTTATTTTTTATCATCAAATTTTGTTTTATTTAAGATTTTAGTTTTAATTCTGAAGAAAGAGGTACATTTCCTTTTTTTTTTAGTTTTAGCATCAGCTTATAACCAGGTTTCTGTTTTCTTTTCTCCTGTCTTTTCAATACTGCATAAACATCCAGAAACTACAGGGTTCAGTAAAAGCTGCAGGCAAGGAGATCAGAGAGCTTACGGTATTTATTGAACTCCACCTAGTAAGGCACTTAGGGTGGAGGGAGAATTTGTGGGTAGTTAAAAAAGAGCCTGACCTAGAGTCTGTTCCCTGGGAATTCCACAGTCCAGGAGGGGAGGTGAAAAGCATGTGTACTGCATTGTAAGGTGGAAGGTGAAAGATGCTGAGGAGTTACTTTGAAAATTCAGACTAGGAAAAGATGTCTTAGGGGAAGCGGTGGGGTGAATGTTTTGGGTAGTCAGGGGAGGCCTTTGCTGCAGGAGGTAAGCTGGACTTATTTGGGCTGGGCTTTGGAAAAGAAGCCCCTTTTGAACATGGGGAGATGGGAGTGGGAAGAGATCACTATATTTGGTGGAAGAAACAGTGAAATATGAGGTTGGAAAACTATGTTAAGGGCCAGATTATGAAGGGAATTGGTTAAGCATTTGGATTTTACTCTGTGTGCCATGGGTTGAGGCTACTGAAACGTATCAGCCAAGGCAGTAACCTGACTAGAATTGCCTGAGGCCTGTTGAAATGGCTATAATGTAGAGGATGGATTTGGAGGGAAGGAAGGCTGGGGAGGAGGCCGAAGCAAGTGACGATGAGTCCTTTGTAAAGGGCTTTGTGGTTGGTGAGGACTGCTGTGAGAGAGACTAACTATAGACAGTATAAAAGACAGAACTCTTGAAACCTGTTTACATGTTGACAAGAGGGAAATATCAAAGATGACTCAAGTGTTCTAGATCCTGGTGACTCATGCTGTTAACAGGAAGAGGAGGAACAGATTTGAGAACACATATGTTGACCTCAGTTGTGGACATATTTTGCCAGGCCCAGTTTACCTTTAGGTGGTTTTGTTTTAGCTGGCAGTTGAAAGCATTTCCAATCCGACTGGCGTTTGGGTGAAAATTAGCTCGTGAGCTAACATTTGTTGAGTTTCTCCTGTGAAGCCAGCCCTGTCTACGATCAATGCTAGACAGAGTGAGGTTTTGAAAGATGTATATATAAATCACACCACTGACTTGTAGACAAGACTTAACAGAGTTGAATCACATTCAAGAAAAATGTATTTCATTTCCATTAAGTGCAAGCAACTGTCCTAGCGACGACAAAGTGAGCAGCACAGTCGCAGCCTTAATGGAACTTGGGAATCTGAGAAGGGAAGGCAGAGTTTCTCAAAAAAAACCCCAAATGGATGTATTATGCTTTATAGTTGACTGAGTCTTCTCTTTTGCATTGGTGATTAATGGCACTACCCTCCAGCCCAACTCTCAAGTCAGTAACCTAGAAGTCATCCCTGACATCCCCCCCAGATCCTGTGGATGCTTTAAAGCCCTCACATATGTTCTTCCCTCTCTGCTGTCACCCATTTGTTCAGACTGGTAGTTCTCAACCTGGAGAACCCTGCATGTTAGAATCACCTGGAGAGCTTTTAAAAACCAAATTTATGCCTCACTCAGCTTCACCAAGATCAATATATCCCACAAAACATTTTTTTCAAACTGAGTCAGTGTTGAATAAAACAAGGTTTTATTGAGTCTTTTTTTAAACAAATTAACTGTGTATATGTATATAAATACATTTGTGTATATATATACACATACAAAATAAGGTCATCTTTTCTAACTAAGAAGTCCTGAGTAGTAAGTTTCA